GAAAACTCAAAACATCAAAGTTGTAGAACTGTGTCTTAGCTTTCCATCCTATCTGGACTCATCAATTTTGGATCTGTAAGGAGGGAGATATGATCAAMATGGTACAGCTGTGCAAAGCTGATAGCAAAACTCTAGATGCATTAGGCTCAACTCTGGATACAGGAGACGGGGATTCAAAATCAGAGAATAGATATMTTTAGAATCATAAAAAAAACATCCACTAAGAACAGCTAATGGTCCTTYAGATTAGAGAATGATTGAATTAGCCTTGAGCTCAGAGTTGAGTTCTGAAAATCAAACAAGCGTTTTTCTCAGCTACTGTCCAGCAGCTATCACTTGATTTCAACATAATTTTTGACATACCAGAAGCTTGATTTTGAGAAAACTCAAAACATCAAAGTTTTAGATCTGTGTCTTATCTTTCCATCCTATCTRGACTCATSAATTYTGGATCTGTAAGGAGGGATATATGATCAAAATGGTACAGCTGTGCAAAGCTGATAGCAAAACTCTGGATGCATTAGGCTTAACTCTAGATACAGGAGATGGGGTTTAAAATCAGAGAATATATCTCTTTAGAATCATAAAAAAAAACATCCACTAAAAATATCCGGTTTGGAAATATCACACACATATACAAATATGCAATTGTATATATAGCAAGGTGTAAGAGCATATATTGACCATCTTGTTTTAAAAACCACTGAACTTTTTTTAGCATGGGATTTACAATATYCGTGCAAACATAGGRAGACACATAACACACAGGGTAGAGAAAATCAAAACCTGGTGCCTTTCAGTAGTCATCTTTGACCGACGAGAATCATTTAAACCTTGGGAAATAGGATTTGCGCTTTTTGTAGGAGTAGGTGCACCAGAAAATTCCTGTGTACAAAGAACAATCAAATTAACCATATGAAAGTCAGCTGCACCATTTGTGTCAAAGAAAATTTGATTGTTCTCTGATATGATAATCAAGTCTATATGCCTAACAGGTGATCAAGCACAAAAATGATGTAGTCTTGATTGCATATTGTTAACCCCTGATTGTGTCCTAAAATTACATTACATCCTCTACTACATATTTAAACAAACCATGTAGATGTAATGCAAAAGAGATGAATCAGTCTTGAACTCTCATGTATGAATAAGTGGCTTAGCATGACATGTGCTAARTCGGACTAAGACAATTTTGAGCCAAGTATGAGCAACTACTGAAATGTTAACAATCTTCCTCCCTGAAGCCAAAGATAGTAACTTTGACCTATACTTGGGATCAAGGTAAAAATAAATGGAAAAGGATCCTACTATATGTGATGAAAAA